CTTCGAGAGAATCATAATGTGATAGTTATTCTAATGTCAGTGTTACTTTGATTTTCATTGTGTGAAGATGAATCAAATTACAATGCATGGAACTAAAAATTGGTATATAGATTTAAGCGTTTTTAGTCGGAAAACGGTGCCCGCTGGAAATGTTATAATTTTGAAGTCAGCGTACTCACTTTGTATGCCTCGTAACTTTTTTATTTTTTTTTTAGAACTAACGTAAATATTGGAGAAATATCGAGAACTAACAAAGAACTAACGATTGGTATATAAATGTAAGCATTTTTATTTAAAAAAAACTGTGCCCCCTGGAAATTCTATAATTGTGAAGTTGGCGTACCCAATTTTTATGCTTCGTAACTTTTTAATTTTTTGAGAACTAACGCAAATATTGGAGAACTATCGAGAACTAACGAAGAACTAACGATTGGTATATAAATATAAGCATTTTTATTTAGAAAACTGTGCCCGGTGGAAATTCTATAATTGTGAAGTTGGCGTACCCAATTTTTATGCTTCGTAACTTTTTCATTTTTTGAGAACTAACGTAAATATTGGAGAACTATCGAGAACTAACGATTGGTATATACAGGGTGATCAACTCAAGGAGGCCACCATTGGGATATCGGAAACGGTAAGAATTAGAGAAAACTTTAAATGGGGGACATTCCTTTATTTTTTGTGGCAGTTAAAAATATGATTTTAGTTTTTTGAAATTCAGCCGCCATTTTCCAAAATGGTGGCCAACTTTGAAATTTCTTATGGAACACCCTATATTGTATCATGTTTTCGGATAGAACAGGCAATTTAAAAACTTTTTTATTCATGACATTTTTTCGATAAACCCACTCGTTTAGGAGTTACAGCCTATGGAAAAATGACTTCCGGTGTACATTTTACATCATGTAGCTCCTAAACAAGTAGGTTTATAGCGAAAATGCGAAAAGTAAATGAGTCAAATAAGTCTTAAAATTGCATCCACATTCCAAAAAGACCAAAAAATACACAGTTTTCCACTTTTTAAGTTTGCCGCCATTTTGGAAAATGGCCGCCATTTTTGAAATAAAAGAATTAATAGTTTTTAACGAATTTTTTGGTCTTTTTGGAATGTAGATGCAATTTTAAGACTTATTTGACTCATTTACTTTTCGCATTTACGCTATAAACCTACTTGTTTAGGAGCTACATGATGTAAAATGTACACCGGAAGTCATTTTTTCATAGGCTGTAACTCCTAAACGAGTGGGTTTATCGAAAAAATGTCATGAATAAAAAAGTTTTTAAATTGCCTGTTCTATCCGAAAACATGATACAATATAGGGTGTTCCATAAGAAATTTCAAAGTTGGCCACCATTTTGGAAAATGGCGGCTGAATTTCAAAAAACTAAAATCATATTTTTAACTGCCACAAAAAATAAAGGAATGTCCCCCATTTAAAGTTTTCTCTAATTCTTACCGTTTCCGATATCCCAATGGTGGCCTCCTTGAGTTGATCACCCTGTAGATATAGGCATTTATAGTAAAAAAAAATGTTCCCGCTGGAAATTGTACAATTGTGAAGTTAGCGTACCCACTTTGTATGCCTCTAAACTTTTTTATTTTTTGAGAACTAACGTAAATATTGGAGAACTATCGAGAACTAACGAAGAACTAACGATTGGTATATAGATATAGGCATTTATAGTAAAAAAACTGTGCCCGCTGGAAATTCTATAACTGTGAAGTTGGCGTACCCACTTTTTATGCTTTGTAACTTTTTTATTTTTTGAGAACTAACGTTAATTTTGGAGAACTATCGAGAACTAACGAAGAACTAACGATTGGTATATAGATATAGGCATTTATAGTAAAAAAACTGTTCCCGCTGGAAATTGTACAATTGTGAAGTTAGCGTACCCACTTTGTATGCCTCTTAACTTTTTTATTTTTTTGAGAACTAACGTAAATATTAGAGAACTATCGAGAACTAACGAAGAACTAACAATTGGTATATAGATATAGGTATTTATAGTAAAAAAACTGTGCCCGCTGGAAATTCTATAATTGTGAAGTTGGCGTACCCACTTTGTATGCCTCTTAACTTTTTTATTTTTTGAGAACTAACGTAAATATTGGAGAACTATCGAGAACTAACGAAGAACTAACGATTGGTATATAGACATAGGCATTTATAGTAAAAAAACTGTGCCCGCTGGAAATTCTATAACTGTGAAGTTGGCGTACCCACTTTTTATGCTTCGTAACTTTTTTATTTTTTGAGAACTAACGTTAATTTTGGAGAACTATCGAGAACTAACGAAGAACTAACGATTGGTATATAGATATAGGCATTTATAGTAAAAAAACTGTTCCCGCTGGAAATTGTACAATTTTGAAGTTAGCGTACCCACTTTGTATGCCTCATAACTTTTTTATTTTTTGAGAACTAACGAAAAAATTTGGGAACTATCGAGGACTAACGAAGAACTAACGATTGGTATATAGATGTAAACATTTCTCCTCAGAAAACGGCGCGTGCTAGAACCCGGAAGTGTGAAGTTAGCGTACCCACTTATAATCGGCTATAACTTTTTTATTTTTTGAGAACTAACGAAAAAATTTGGGAACTATCGAGAACTAAAGATGAACTAACGATTGGTATGATCAAAAATGGATACGCTAATATGGGTACGCCAACTTCACGGACCTAAACATAACAGGAATATTTTTTAAACATTTATTTACTTAGTTTCGTTGTAAGTTTATTTATTGTCTTAGTAAAGCCGTAATGAGCAAATTGGTCGGTAGCCGACTCAGAAGAATATATACATGGTATAAACTAAGTAATTTTATAATATAATCTCACAACGCATGTTAACTTGCATTTTATTTATACAGGGTGATTGATATAAGTGTACCAGCTGTTTTATTCGAAATTATAAGAGATATGAAAACATTTTAAAATGTAGCTTGGATGTTGTAAGCTTTGGTTTTTTATAAAAAAAATGTTGGTCAGGTTGAATAATAATTTAAGCCGCCATTTTTCCAATATGGCTGCCAACTTAGATTTTTCTTTTTGAAGCCCTTTATTTTATGATTTTTTTTTGTAAATGCCATTTAAAAACGTTTCAGCGAATTTCCCATACAAGAATAAGTAAACTGTTGTAGTTTGCTTGTTTATGAAAATATTTTGATCAAATTTGGAAAATGCATTAATTTATTTCTAAACTAATTACATTTTACAAAAAAACACTTTTACGCTCCCTGTTGCAGCAAACCTAAGTACTCGTTAAACTAATTATATTTAAATAGGGGAAAAATGTGATATTTTTAAGGAGATATTTTAGTGTAAATCCAGTCAAGCAAATTAAATTCGCTTAGACTGCAGGTTTTCTGAGGCGGGGGTATTAAGGGTTATAAGACGTTTCTATTATTTACTTTCCATAAAATAATTACCACATGCGTAGATAGGGCTCATACACGACAACCGAGAACAGTTTTTTTATAGTTCAAATTTATAAGCTAATATAAGAGGTAACCCAAAATAAACCCATTCGTTTATAAATCAATTACGAACGTGAAAGTAACTAAGAGATCAATATTTGAAACAGTTGCATTTTATTCTTGCTACGTGAAAGCAACTTAAGTACATTTATTTTCGAAAATAATTTGAACATACTTTTTTCGAATTGACATTGGCTAATGCTCTTTTTATGTATTAACATTGTACCTTGTGTTAACATTGGGTAGGAAACATCTACCCAATTATTCCTAGTTAATGGTTTTGTTGCATAGAAAGTTTATATTTACTGTGCCTCCTATTTTCTACTACGATTAAATCGTCGTCGTAAATCTGTCTAACACGTTATATTAGTTTCCATATAATAAGTGAAATGGCATTTGCTCCAACTATGTATGTAATATAATGGACTATATAATATAATCCATTTATAAATTTTACCTCTAAATGTTTTCCACTATCAAGAATGTTTGTTTTATCACAACAATGTTAATCTATTTGTTTTCCGACAGACCAGTGTTAACAGTAGGAGTATGCGACACAGTTGAGTAAGGTCCAAATCTCGATGGTTTATGGCTGCCCTTGGCGAGGCCTTTAGTAACGTCTTAACTCTTGGGTGAGGCTGAAAATTCACAAACCAAGGCTATAAGCATCTCTTTTCCTCTTTGTGACTCTTTTTCCAATGTGTGTTTATATTTGAAGACTTATTGATTAAATTTCCTTCTCTCTGCTGATTGGTTTGATAAACTAATTTGTATAAGGGACAAAAAACAATAACTTCATGCTTACTATTTGGGTTTTGAAAATATTATTTCCCCGAAAGTACAAAAATACGTCAAATAACGCTTGTAATCATACATTTACACTAATACTGTTTACTCACAAGAGGGTAATACATATAAAAGATTACATATAAAAAGATTATTGGTGATTGATTTCGATTGGGCACTCCAATCATCATCAGACCGCCAATAGGCGAATTTATTTACCGTCTTGTGAGTAACAGGTTGTAAATATATTATTGCAAGTGCATTTGACGTATTTTTGTACTTTCAGGTAATTTAATAATACTGATGAGGTTATTTAACTATACTTTAGCACTTATAACACATAATGTAGATATGAAAGATATACCATACAGAAAAAGAATGGTTCGATTGTAGGAAAATACGTACATCTTCTATGATATTCAATGTAATTTAAATCTGACTTTAGGATCAATGTTTTCAAAAAATATACAAAGTAGCCTAAATATTTAGGGCCATAATCATTAAATGGTGTAAAGCTGAACAAAATCAGTATTCGCTCATCTAAATCATACTCATAAAAATACTAACATGAAGTGGATTATACTACTAACTAAACCAAAAGTTATTTCGTACAAAAACTAAAACTGCATAGAGTCTTATATATTGCGAGTTTATATAGTGGCTCCTTATAATCTAGCGAGTTTTCCATTTGGTTTACAATTGAAGAAGGTAATAAAACACCCCATCGTACTACTTAGAGATTTTTATTTCGAATAAATAAAATATAACATGTTTCGCAACCGAGGTTTAGTTAAATTATCTAACTGAAACAAATTTACATGTGAGCATTACGAAAATATAATTTTTAAGTTTCGTTAGCTTACTAAGTCTTAATAGTTTTTTAGGCTGAGAAACTATAAAAAAATATAATTATATGAGTTATTTTCGTATTTTACAACAGACTAATAAGCATTTTCTAAAAATATATTACTATAGTTAATACTCTTAATACTCTTACGTACTAAATGTTTTGAAGCAATCAACAACTTTCTATAAACTACGAAGTTATAAATTTATTTAGCTAAGGGAGTTGTCGTATTTATTTTACTATTATAAGATATAGTTTTCATCTAAGTTTGGATTGTTAACATTAAATTCTCTGAAGTTTGTTTATTTTTTGAGTTTTAATGCTTATAAAAGGGAAATTGCTGGATAATACAAATTCAAGTCAATACAAAAAAAGGGTTTTCATTATTTTAACCTGTATCAACTTATTTTTTTTTAATTTTTACTGTTAAAACTAATAAGCATTTATCATTTTTTTTTATACTCATAGTTCACTGAAAATCTTGTCATATTCTTTCTACAATGTCAGAAGTATTTGTAAAGAGAAAACCTTCATGATACACGATGAACAAGGTTACTCTTTGGAATGAATGAACGATTTCTTCCACAAACTTTGTTACATGGTAAACATTTTTGTAATTTTTACAATTCTATGTGCAAAGAAATTTTACCTATTTTTTACCCCTTTAAGTAATTCAAGTAAATCACTCAGCTAATAAGTATGAAAGAGCTAACCATCTCTCGTTTTATCTTTAGTAGAGAGAGGTCAATAAAATATACATTAAAGTTTAACTTCCTATATTAACTATATTCAAAATCGGTTCGTCAATTTATAAGCAAACTTTGCATTGAATATACAGTAATAAGAGAGTCAGTCATACATTCTGTATGACAACAACAAAAAAACAACAAAACTTCATACCCATAAAAGTTTGGAAATTGGTTCACAGAAACGAGATAGATATATTTTTTAAGCTCCTCATACGATGGTAAAATTGAAAGAAATTATATCTCCAAGTGTTTTAGAATTAATTTCTTTGTTTCATATAGTAGGAGAATTTAGGGAGTTATGCAAATTACATGCAAAAATCATTTATGTACGAGCGGTGTTACGTTTATCGCTGTAAAAAATCATCCTCTATAAAAATTTACTTTCAAAACTTAGGCATACGTTTCTTTCATGTTTTTTATTGAAGATATCGCAATCCCTCAAACTAAGCAGCCGGCTATGATTGAGAAGGCCAAAAAGCTAATCTCGACAGGTGTAGAGGGGTGGTGCAATAAGAAGTCAGTAATTGCCTTGAGCTCAGCGTCACAAACTACTTCAGCCTACTAATTACCTCGCTTTACGTGTATGCTTTTTTATCCATCTAAAGCTTGTCAACTTGGATTTACACTTGTATTTTTACTTATTAATGCATTTTCTATATCATTTAATTTTATGATAAAGGGGTTCCTAGCTAGATAATCTTACTAATATTATAAATGTGAATTTTTGTAAGTTTGTTTGTTTGAAGTTCAATCACGCATTAACTACTGGTTGGGTTGGGCTGAAATTTGGCATTATGGCTCATATTCTCGATTAACATACAAGCCTGTTCTTATCTCAAAATGCTGTGTTCTATGTTGTTTATGTAGAAATAAAATACAGTAGTGTTTAACTTCATTGTATTATCTCATTTGTTTTCAATCGCTATAGTCAGTTAAATACTGTGTAAATAAATAGTAGATTTTTTTATGGGAAAAGGGTTGTGTAAACAAGCTTAATTTCTTCAAAATAGTATGGTTAAATTTTAAAATATTTCAACACACAGTTAAAAGCTCCCTTGAGCCACCATGTTGTGAAAACATGTTCATTGTGAGCTACTGTCTATCTAATATAGTCTGTAAGATGGGACATGTCTCCTAACCCTCCATTTACATGGAAACTGGTCAATGGTATGAGGCCCGGGCCAGTCCCAGGATGGTCCCAGATAGACGGAGTTTAATGGGACAGGATCTATCATACAGACTATAACTATTACTTGCTTTCAGTATATTTTTCATGTTTTGACCACGACACAGTTCTCTGTATGAATTTTCTTTTGCGATTCCCCCTGCTATGGCCGGACTTATGTTTAAGGTACTTTCTTAAAGATTTTTATATCTTCAAAACGATTCTTAAGTATTTTTACAACTGTAATGGAAATGTCTGTAAACAACCGACTATCACCCAAAATTAACTTTAAGTCCAGAATATTTTTGCAGCAAAATATTTCCTTACCTTACCCAATTTACTTATAAAATCTGTCATCTCTATTTACTGTATACCCAATACAAATCGTTTACATTGCACTATAAGTTCCTTAAGTCACCCTCCACTGTCAAAGCACATAACAGTCCTAGCCTAATCACAGCCTGATGTCGCCCTATCAGCTGGGGTCCGCCTGCTACCGCGCGGACGAGGTGTCGCCCAGTTTCTGGGTGACGATGGCCAAAGGACCCACAGATCCCGGGGTGAACTTCCCCGTGGACTTGTTGTCCTCGGTGTAACCCCGCTGCATCATCGCTGTCTCGTACAGCTGTTTCTGCATCACTGCCAGAGATACCTGCGAGAAGCACAGAGATTATGAGATGAAACTTCGATTTATACGACGAAAATATCCCAAATGGTAAAACACAGTGTCATTAAAGCAACAGTCATAAACACATCTACTATAGTCCGTTCACAAAATTTATGTGATTTTAAGGAAAGTTAACTCCACCAATTTTATTGCTTTATGTATGTTGCAGCTGATCGACGTTTTGGAAACATCAGCTGTTGAGCTGTTGTTTTAAGTGGAAATGGTAAGAAGAAATCTACCATTTCCACTCCTCAAAATAGCTTTTTTTGCTGAGTGTAATAAAATGATAGTTTCTAAACAACTTGTTTGTACAATATACATGATCGGTTTATGATTTTAAGCTGGAAATATTTCTCAAGTTTAAAATGGGAACTGGTTTGTTCTCATCCAACATTTACCTACTTTTAAACAGTATTAATGACGAATTAATTGTCAAAAATATTACTATAATAAAACACGTCTTCCAACCCTTTTTTAATATATCCTGTCCGACATACCTATAGGCTACATTTATAAATATGGAAGTGCCCCTGAACACCAGGTAAATTACATATATTTCAGGGGCACTTCCATTTTGCCAAGTAATATGATAAGAGGGTACTTTCCTGTTAAAGGGAACATTAATTATTATCGATGATTTTTTTCTCGATATATCGATATTAACAAATTGAAACATATCAGCTGACAATGACGAAAAATATTGTTCAGTATCAACAAACATTAATGAAATGAAACTGTTCTAAAATAAATAACCTAACATAACTAACCAAACTTGCTGTAACATTCAAAAATTCCGCGTTTAAAACTTGGCTTTTATATTCAAAACCAAAGGGAATTTTTAAATGGTACAGCAAGTATGGTTGGTTATGTTTGGTTAGCTTAGAACAGTTTCATTTCTTGTGTTCAATTTGTAATGGATCGGAAAACAAAAACATCGATATATCGAGAAAAAAATCATCGATAATAATGAATGTTCCCTTTAACAGGAAAGTACCGATAAGAGCATATACTGCTGACATTCACAAAGCGGTAAATTCGAAGAAAGTCATAATGAAGATTTATTTTGACTTACCTGTCATAGTTTAGCATAATATTTGGACACATTCAGGTCAGGTGATTAAGGCCAGTCTTACTTATCAAAATCAGTCGTTATTATATTACCTTGTCTATACATTTGCCTTCCAATGAATATCTGTATTACATAATTAAATCTCAATGGAACAGCGCAAATATGGAAACAGCTGATTGCAAATGTTTTTTATTCTCTAGGAAATCCTGTGACACCCATGTTACCTTGTTGGACGTGAGGAAGTCCTTCATAGAGATGAGTTCCCCAGACAGTCTCCGACCCCGAGAGTCAACTCCCGCCTCAGAGTCGTATCCTGCAGAGTCGGTCTCCGCCACTACGTCACACATCGGCGTGCTGCGCTTCGTCCTGGGGACACAACCAATACATGGTGGAAGGAAAAAAGATAGGTGTGCTATTCCCACATATTCTGACGTCACTCGGATTGCAAACAAAAGATCATCTGATTGTAACTGTCAAATTAGTATGTATTTGTTTTTATTTGGTTGTTATTGTTTTTATAATAATAAAAACAATAACAACCAAATCAAAACAAATACATAAATACTAATTTGACAGTTACAATCAGGTGATCTTTTGTTTGCAATCCGAGTGACGTCAGAATATGTGGGAATAGCACACCTATGTTTTTTCCTTCCACCATGCAACCAATAAGTGAAGTATACCTAATAATTGTTAGAAGTTCTCTGAATACTATGTACTGCCTGCCTTTTGTACGTAAATCATATGTTTTATTATATTGTTAATACTCTATTTACATTTTTTGTTTACAATTTGTCAGTTCTTTGAAAATCATGCTAATTAAACAATCTCTTGAATTTTATCTTTTTTATTGTATCAATATTACTATCTATCATTAACAATAATATGTCATCCCTATGATTATCAGTGCCTGGTGTTGCTACGGAATACATCACTGTTCAGAAATAAAAATGCACAGCCAGTTAGTTCTCCGTTGTATGTGTACGGCCCTGCACAATTCTAAAATAATGTGCACAACCAGGTACTCCTCAGAAATAATGTGTACGGCCAAAAACCACTCAGAAATTATAGACATAGCCAAACGCTGCTCCGAAATTATGTCTGCTATTGTTTTTCTTAAATGTTGAATAGTTCTTCTATATAAGGATCTTGATTATTTATTCCTCACTTGAACGAAAACTTAATGAGATAAACAACAAACCTTTACTCACTTTCACTGAACATATTCGTTCTTTTTTGTTAACCTTGACTTTAAAAATCAGGAAAATATATACATGACACTAATGGTTTTTAGACAATATTAACAAAATTGAAAGTATAAAAACAATTGAATGCATCAAATCACATTTCAATATTTGTAGACAGTTAGTTTTAGGATATTTAACATTGCATTCGTTGGTAGTGACTTTGGAAAAGAACTTGATGTAATTATTTATAAAATTTACGACTTTCAAAAACATGGTTCGTAGACCACCTTTATGTTCTGAAGATACTGAAGGTAGGCGTATATAAAAGAAAGTGCTGCCGTTTCAATGATGCACGTTAAATCTTCTGAACGACCAGCCCATCAATAATAAGTTGTGGACAATGCTTTCAAAAGATACAATCCAACCTGTAAAGATATATCGTTTTGTTTTACACATAAATTTCACATATCTTCGTGTTTACCTGCTTCTATATCAGTCACTTAAAATATCAGTAAAGATTTTAACGTTTCTTCTTTCGAGTGCGGAAGTTTGTGTAAGAGTGATAGAACCTTTAACTCCTGCATTACATTCCTAAATGCTAACTACTAGGCTACCTATCAACACACGCAGTGTTATAACGATTGTGTTCATCTAATTTTTTAAAGCACAAGCCAAGTCATCCTAGAAGGGCCAGTTCCAGGTAGACTAAGGTTCAGGAGACAGCTTCAATCTTATAATATACTATAATCAATTTCCTAGGCTTTTGATCCTGCTATCAAGAGCTTCCAGGGATACGTCAAGAAGACCCGTTAAACATCCTTTTACTAGACCTTTACCTAGTAGACTTCCTGAGACTCCTCGGGTACGTGATGCTCGACCTCCTTCTCTGCTGCAGTCTCAGCGAATGTCTCCTCAGCATCCTACCAGCCTTGCCTTGACGGTCGCAGCACTGACAGTCCAGGTGGAGGATCACCCAGTTCAATGCTTGCTTCACCACAATACTTGTCACGTTGAACAGCGAGTAGATGCAGCAGCAGCCTAACACTATCAGAATGAAGTTGGCGACCCGGTACAACTCCGGGTACGGGTACTGACGTTGAGGGCCCTGAGTGGACACGTAGTCTCCGAAACCTGGAAATGCATTTTAGGTTAGAGCAAAGCATATTTCACCTAATCTATACAATTAATGCAATAAGAGTATTGTACGTCCCTCTGTAACGTCCCTTTTCACTCATCTTACTTGACCGACTTTTACGGTTAAGGTGTCATTATTTTAAAGCTATCTAGTGAAGGGAGGAATGGAAACTAAAATATATTTTTCATTAGGGTTTTGCCCTTTCCTTGCATTTTATCTGGTTCAATAGTTTAAAGATCTAGTTCTGCTGATTAGTTTTTTCAACAAAGGGTTTGAATGTGAACTGTACGTTAACAGCTGATCTTTCAGTTGAATGTTTAACCAGATTCAGATGATAAACAAGAAGTGAAACAATTTGTAGCAGTTATCGTGGCAAAATAACAACAATAGGAGAATATGACAAATATTACCTATCGTAGCGAAAGAAACGAAGCAAAAATAAATGGATTCGAAGAATGTCCAGTTCTCCAGCGGGCAGTAGAGAGCTGAAGCACATCCAGCGACGACCACTGAGGCTACGACTAGACACAACATTACCCAGTATACACTGGGCTTCCACTCGTCTAGACTGTCGTCCTCGTCAACATCCTGACCTTCCTATAGGACAAAACAAGGATAATACAGTAGAGAGCTGAAGCACATCCAGCGACGACCACTGAGGCTACGACCAGACACAACATTACCCAGTATACACTGGGCTTCCACTCGTCTAGACTGTCGTCCTCGTCAACATCCTGACCTTCCTATAGGACAAAACAAGGATAATACAGTAGAGAGCTGAAGCACATCCAGCGACGACCACTGAGGCTACGACCAGACACAACATTACCCAGTATACACTCGGCTTCCACTCGTCTAGACTGTCGTCCTCGTCAACATCCTGACCTTCCTATAGGACAAAACAAGGATAATACAGTAGAGAGCTGAAGCACATCCAGCGACGACCACTGAGGCTACGACCAGACACAACATTACCCAGTATACACTGGGCTTCCACTCGTCTAGACTGTCGTCCTCGTCAACATCCTGACCTTCCTATAGGACAAAACAAGGATAATACAGTAGAGAGCTGAAGCACATCCAGCGACGACCACTGAGGCTACGACCAGACACAACATTACCCAGTATACACTCGGCTTCCACTCGTCTAGACTGTCGTCCTCGTCAACATCCTGACCTTCCTGTAGGACAAAACAAGTTGAATATGATTGCAAGATAAGTGTATGCTGAGTGAGATGATCTTTGTACCTTTGTTACGGAATGAGATCAGCTCTTTATTCAGCACGGACCACTTATGAAAAGCATAATGGTCAAATAAAACAGAGGTGGTTACATGTTGGAACCTTAAAAACTAACCAACTTTTTTCTGGATCGAATTGGCAACCTTTTAACTGTCAGCTAATTCTATAACCGCTCAGCTATCTATACCCTTAGCAGCATTGAAGTGCCTCTGAACACATGCATTTTACCTGGCGATCATAATATATGTTCATATGTTCGATGAACATATATGTTATGAACATATATACAGGGACACTCCCACATTGCTAAGGTATACCAATGTTAAGTAAGAGATTTTATTTTTAAGAAGCAAAATGGATCAATTATTTCGAAGTTACTTCCTAATTCCTTTCTTTCTAGAGGAATTGTGTCAACAGCAGCCAAACTCAAAAGATCAACCCGTGACTCTTTGGGTGCATAGTAGAAAATGAGAGTAAATAAAGGATTAATTAGAACGCCAGATATTAGAAAAGATACTGTATGGAATGGATCATATATACACAAATATGACGCCACTGGCCCAAAAGTCCAGATCCAGTTGTTACTGCTATTAGAAGGAGATTTGGACCAGTCCTAGTTTGTTTATTTTTATTATACATACCTTTCCTCTTCTACTATCCGTGAACGTAGTTTTCTTTGTTTAATTTGATCGATTATGTCTCTGGATCAGAAGGTAGTTTTATGTTTATGGGAGGTTTTGAATGTATTCTACACAGTTATTTTAATGCACCTCCTGTTATTTAATGTGAAGAAATAGAACTATTTAACATTCCTTTAGTTTTGGTGGATTTTTTGGTACAAATGCCTGTGGATTTTTCCTACCTTGCTGAGTTTTCTCAAGTATATGGCTCGTAGGATGTAGGCTAGTAGTGTGATGATCCTCTCCAGGAACAGGTTGAAGAACAAGATGCCGCTGGAACATCCGAGGAAACCGTAAGCTATCACAGCTATACGTCCAGCCACGGTCTGAGGGGTGGTGTTGCCGTATCCTACACAAAGAGCCAATATTAATTCAAATAGTTGTGTTAAGTTGAAGATCCAGTTAATAAGAGTTAGGGGATAGTAAGGAATCAGGGGATAAATATCCCCTAAAAGCCAAAGACACGTTAGGTCAAAATTAACCAATTAGTAATATTTCCCAAACCAATTATGTATATAGAGGGGGAGCAAGCTGGTACAGTGCATTGATATAGTTAATATATCAATGGTCTAGTGGTAGAATGCGGAACTTCGATCTCGGGTGATTCTGCAAAATCACCAATGTATTTTATCTAAGTGATAATGTCACAACTCCTAGGTCAAGCCTGAAGTAATGTGAAAAAGATTATGGGTGAGAGAAAAAAAAACTTATTCGGTTTTCATTAAACTCCTCTAGTTTATAATAAGAAAAAAAATTTTACTCATGAGCCCACAAGTTGGTTAATTCTTAAATGGTTGAAACTAACTGCTACAACAGCAGCCTAATATTTAGGAACTCTAGTAGCCTAAGTATTAAGGAGCTCAAGCAGTTTAATACAAATAGCGTAATCCGGGCATGGAAAACTTGTTTGTTAAGTTAAATAAATAAAAAAAAACACTTTTCCATGTAATGGAGTTAACTATTTTATAACCAATCTTCCAAACGTTTTACATATCATAACCAAGCCCCCTTTTTACAGAATGTGTAAATTAATCAAGCAACCAGCTACAAATAGAAAAGCTCTTGAATTTTTATTATTTTACTTACTGTCACTAAACTACTGAAATTCACGCCAATATTATCACAGAAATCTTAAAAGGAATGTTATAAATGTATGCACTTCGCATATACTTGGGTTTGAGATAAGCTCTTGTAACAAAACGACAGTCGGTGATGTATGCTTTGACATATACATTTGTGACACTTCGATTCAAGCTCGGGTTGACTGACTCTCTCCAACGTAAAACTCTACAGTCTTATGGACGTTTATTGATCCAAGTTAAACAGTTTTTCAAACAAATAATTAATAGTTATTCATTAACCTTAATTTTGAGTTCGTAAATAAAATTGATTGTGTTAGTAATACCTCGGAAAAGTAAACTCTTTGATGTATATTTTATTTAAGTGTATTTTATAAGTCTGTTTCGGAAGTTCAAGATTCATGAACCTCACTTACTATAGTCTGTATGATGGAACCTGTGTCCTGATCCTTTTTGTCTACCAACGACTGGCCCCAGTGTCCAGTTAGACTGAGGGGAGACAGATTCCATCATAAAGAATATCTTCTATAGATCTTATGACATTGTAACTTATTACTAAAAACGCTTGATTTAACTGCAATAAGCTTCGTCATGTTTCTTCATCATTAGGATTTTTTTTAAGATTTAGCATGAGATAAACTTTCGAAAAAAGAATTCGAATATAGGCATTATTTTAAAATCCATTCCCAAGCTGCAGCTTTTGTAAGAAATGCTATTGAATCTTCAATAATCAAACTGGCTATACTTTTATTCCAATGTAGAGGAATTATAGGAATTATAAAATAGGTAAAAATCTCCCTGATATAGGTATAATCTTCTTTTAGGAATAGCTGAAGACAGTTTTAAGGTTAATCCGTTTTAGTAGAAGGATGTTTGATGTTTAGTGATTATTTTTGGAATTTCACTTATAAAAAAAATTAAAGCAAGAAACCTATCTACATATAATTTATACCTATCCTCTAGTACTATTACCACACAGTAAAGCAAAATTCATAAAATTTATCCTAACAGAAAAGCATTTGTTATACATCATCGCACTCGTGTCAAAAAAATGAACCACACATAAACCATATCTTCGGACTTCACAAAAGTAGCCTATATAAAATTCACTTACACTATTTAAAATCTAAAGCAAAACGTACGATTTCGAAATAACAAATCGACTAAATATTTACCTAGTATGTATGATAGTTGAGACGAGGGTTATTTTTATATTTGCTTCAGGGCTGTACAAAGAAGTTGACAACGCGGAGGGACGTCAGCTGTTAAAGTATTCACAAGTCCCTTATTCACCCAGTAAATGAACTGACCACTTGACGTCACCGATCTCAACTTGGCCGTGGATCTCTAGGTTTTCTACTCACCATGGGAATGAAACGGTTATGACGTCATGAATATTGTACGTAAGCGGAGTCTGCTGCACGGCATATGTGATATTTTCACAATTAAATTATTTACCTAACCCGCCATGTTAAACTTCCCTATCCCAAGCGTGATGTATACAACTTCCTTACTTCTCGAGTGATGTAAAGTTGAAAAAAACTCACTCGGTGATGTAATGAAACCCATTTAAATAACATTGAGTGGATAACTTAAAAAATATACCTCTATGGAGCCAACGACGTTCAACGCTAGAAATCAGCTGTGTGTTTGAATTTTATTGTTATGCTTTGAAGAATTTTCCTAACCTAGCTTTTGTTTGTAAATGAAGGTTACTGTTAGAAGATGAGTGAAATTGATAATGAAGTATATTGCTCGTAACCTCCTGAATATTGTCGGGTCAGGTAAAATCTTGTACGTTACACGTTACGCAAGAGCGTGTTTACATCACTTCGGTGAATTATGCAACTCGCCTTCGCTCGTTGCACAACATTCACCTGCGTGATGTAAAAACGCTCTTACTACACTTGTAATGTAAATAGCTATTACCGCTTTAAGTGAAGGAGGTTCCTTATTAATTGAAGGTTCTCCTCAATCAAGAGACATAAGTATACGTTTTTTTATCAGATGTGTGGACGTACAGATTTAGGTGGATTCCGAACCATCAAACCATGATGTAATCGCAATAATAAAACCCATTAGTGATTAGCAAGATTTGAACCTGCAATCCCAGGAAGCGATGTTCTTGCCAATAACCCAAGTGGGTCCCTATTTTCTCAATGTAGTGTATTAGACTTAATGAGCTATACACTTTTTTTGGTATTTTCAAAATATGCAAACATTTGTCAGAGTACAATTTAAATGTCTTTACAAAAAAAAAAGAAAAGAATAATAAAAACACCCTTGCCGCAGCAAAGATGGATACTAAACAAATTTTCAGTTGCCTGATTCAGTTTTCACTAAATCATTTACTAAAAGTTTAATGAGAACTTGGGTGTGTTACCATTGACTATTGGATACTGAAGTTGTATTGATAGCCAAAGGTGCTACTGTAAGAAAAAGAACAAAGTAATTTTGTTGTAAAATTGTATTAACTTGGTATGAAATAAAAATATGTCCAAGTTCATATCACAAACAAGCAAACTTTTAATTCGTAAAGTTTTTTGGGAATCTTAATAAAATACGGCTTGATCGAATTTGATTGGAATTTAGTATTTTTAGGTCCTTTTAACTCTACGAACTTTTAAACGTGTCCTTTTGGCTAAAACAGTGTATTTATTATTTTAAAAAAACTTTCTCCATATACTTTGTATAGGGTATGATTACAATTGTTTATCAAGTACACATCAAGGTGTAAACGCATAGTTAATTAATGCAAGACTTACAGAGTGTGTTAGTTGTAGTTTACAAAACACACAGAGTAAGGAAGTTAATCACCGCATGGTAACAATTTCCCGCGGTAATGAGTGTTTCGACAAGAGCAACCTCATAAAACACTCTTACCTCCACAAAATACAGGGTGTCCCGGAACTCTCTATCAATATTTTAGGGCATTGCTCCTGGGTAAGAAACATAACTAATTATCATATTTAAACTGTCTGGAAGTCCTTAGTTACTCACACAGCCGCAATTTTTTTTTGTTATTAATTTATTTCTAAAGAATGGTTAAACATACGAAATGGAAACTTTGCACAAACATTTATGTGACAACTAGACAAAGCTACCAAAAAATTAGAAAGATTTTTCAAATTCATAAAACAAAATGGTGGCCATTTAAAATGTTTGTAAAATCAATGGTTATTGAGGTATTTAAGAAAGAAAATTTAAAAGGCCGCCATTTTGTTTTATGAATTTGAAAAATCTTCATAATTTTTTTGTAGCTTTGTCTAGTTGTCATAAATGTTTGTGCTAAGTTTCCATTTCGCATGTTTAACCATTCTTTAGAAAAAAGTTAATAACTGAAAAACCAAAATGGCGGCTGTGTGAGTAACTAAGGACTTACGGACAATTTAAATATGATATTTAGGTACGTTTCTTACCCAGAATCAATGACCTAAAATATTGGTAGAGAGTTCCGGGACACCCTGTATATCAAGTTGTTGAAACTGTTCATCATGTGAAATTTAATTGAGACTCAAGTAATTGGGGATTAAAACTTTCTAATTACTTTATTGCTTGTGTTACCCCCCTCCCAAACCCCTGTGTGCATCCCAAAACGTTGTATGGCATAAGTAGTTTCTATTTGAGATTGGGAAATTTCATTATGATGAGTTGTAGACAAACTGTTTGAATATTTAACGAAAATTGTTTGATTTATCATCTCGTGAGGAACTGTTCCTTAAACCCTTCAGTCAAAAAGTTCGCATGACGCGTTTTAAAGATATACAGGTGATTGATGTATTGTAAAATGAGAAAAGGAATGACATGATTATTTGGATTTTTCTAAAGTCAGAAGTTAAAATTGACTATTCTAATTATTTGACCCGTCGTACGTGCAAGATTTGAGTTCTGTCGGTTCAGAAATTTTGTTATCCCTATTTATTATAATTTGTTAGCCCAATCTGAGACAATTGGTTTCATTTTTGTGTCAATTAGTAAGGTAGATATTAATCTTACAAAATCATAGGATGTTTCACAAGACGCCACATTTGGTAACGATGAAGATACAAACATTCTAATCTGAATCCAACTGAAATGTTCGCATCACTAGGAAATATTTTTTTAAAGACTAAATGAAACTCTAAACGTCTTATTAGTGAGTAATGAATACAAATAAGTCAGTTTAATAAGGCCCTTTGTCAAAATGAAAATAAGATAAAGATAGCATTAGAAGCCATTTATTTGTCGCACCATTCCAATCAATCATTGAGTTTTCCAATTTATTTTTCCACTTGAGAGTTGAACTTATCAAGCCGTCAAAGAGTATCATAGCTTGTTTAATTTATAGCTTGTATATTTGTTTTCATTTCATCTCTGAGATTTAAAACTCATATCTCATTTCTGACTTGTATTGGACAAATCAACAGTCATATGAATCAAATGTCATATCTAGAAAAAATAGTTGAACTATCATCCAATTTGAGCTCAACCATTAAAGAAACTATACAAAAATAAAATGAAACTCATTCCATTTCTAGTCTTTCCTTGACACTTGTTTTTATTGAAAAAGGGATGTTTTGTGGTTATTTAACAGTAACCCTTTGTAAACTACTTTGTATTCAAAAACCTACTAAACATCTAAAAACAGTATAGTCCATAAAACGTAATCGACGTCGTGTCGTCGAAAAAAAAACGACACTTAAATTACGTACATAAATTACGATGTAAAAATAAAACAAACAATTTGACGCCGTTGGTTGATGAAATATTCATCTTCCTCACATATCCTTCATTGCCCAGCAGCAATAATTTAAAGGGGTAAAACATACAATTAGTACGTTTTTGTTTAGCAACAGTGTCGTGGGTAGCTATTATTTATCTTAAGTTTATGTAATTTGCCCATAAGTATTGAACAAAAGTGGAAATTATACCAGAAAATTCTAAATTGTTCTTAACAGAAGCTAAACAAAGGTAATCAGGGTGAGGTAAAGCACAAAGTAGATAATTTCTTTAAAGTAAAGTCCATAAGCAAATATGAAATAATAAAAAATAAAAAATAGAGAAAGACAGTCATGACAGCTTTAAGGAAGCATTCAGTTTGAACATTTTGAATAGATCTTTGCTGACGCTTGACATCAACCAAGATGTAAACAACATTCTTTCTAGGACTTATAAAATGAAGAACCCCTAGTTTTATAATTTTATCACTAATACATTGCCACTTCGCTCACCTTGGATTGAACATTTTGAATAGATATTTGCTGACGTTTGACAACATCCAAGATGTCAACAACATTCTTTCTGGGACTTATAAAATGAAGAAACTCCTAATATTAAAATTTAATTACTAAATTATTTGTCACTTTCCTCACCTATTGTTGAAACTATAGTGCTGACAAAATGAAAACTGCCGGCAAAGTCCCATCGTCTGCCCGCACCTCCTCCTGAGGTGACAGTGGAGTGGAGGTCTAGGAGACGGTCTAGGGTGGCGTTGTCAAGGGTAGTGTTGTCTAGAGCAGCACGGACCTGGGCCAACATCTGGGCGTAGTCCCCCGCCACTGCGAGCTCAGTGGAAGACTCCAGCTGTTGGAACAGGAGTGCTCCCATAACCATGTACAGCAGCAGGACGATGGCCAGTAGAACCACTCGTGCATTGTCCTCACTGAGCTGTATGACAGACAACCAACCCATCACCACATAGCTGGACCTCCTGCAACAAACAGACAACACTGTAGAACTATTGTTGGAACAGGAGCGCTCCCATGACCATGTACAGCAGCAGGACGATGGCCAGTAGAACCACTCGTGCATTGTCCTCACTGAGCTGTATGACAGACAACCAACCCATCACCACATAGCTGGACCTCCTGCAACAAACAGACAACACTGTAGAACTATTGTTGGAACAGGAGCGCTCCCATGACCATGTACAGCAGCAGGACGATGGCCAGTAGAACCACTCGTGCATTGTCCCCACTGAGCTGTATGACAGACAACCAACCCATCACCACATAGCTGGACCTCCTGCAACAAACAGACAACACTGTAGAACTATTGTTGGAACAGGAGCGCTCCCATGACCATGTACAGCAGCAGGACGATGGCCAGTAGAACCACTCGTGCATTGTCCTCACTGAGCTGTATGACAGACAACCACCCCATCACCACATAGCTGGACCTCCTGCAACATACAAACAACACTACAAACAGAACTACTGTTGTAACAGGAGTAGTACGAGATGAAGTCAAGAACATTATCGTTGGTTTCAGATTTTTAAATATAGCTCACTTCACCCTGACGGGATTTCAATGGAGACCTTAATTTACGGACAACCTTACAAGTGTATAGTGAACGTAATAGTTATTTATAATGATAACGTATATCAATACATTTTTTAGAATATATTTTGATTGATTCTTGAAGCCTTCTTGAAATTAATTTTCTTTTTTAAACTACCCTATAAGCTAAATTGAGACTCCCTATAAGAAACCTTTAGAAGAAGATAAGGAATGCAATAATTTAGGATTTGTGTTCTTTCCATAGTATTTTTGCCTAACATGTTGCAATGAATATAGAATTCCAAACACAAGCAGATTATTAAACCATCTCAAAGTAGATATGTAAATATAAAGCTTCATGAAATTTCTTCCACAATAAAATGAAGAACCATGTTCTAAGTAATAATCCTTGTGTGACAGCCTAAGTGAATTTTAATATAAATCAGTCATGAAAAATTTACAATCATTACATTGTAGACATTTACCTGTTGTATAGTACAGAAAGAAATATAACAACTTTTACAATAAACATGAGCTCAACATTATTTCTCCGTAACAAATTCTACCTATGAAACGAATATCTTGACTAATTTATATGACTTGTTTAAAGTTTATACTGCTAAACCATTCATGTACTCTAAACTTCTTATCCACTAAACCTGTTTTATGCAACAGAGGTGAAAGCGTTTGCAGACGAATTTGCAAGAATCTGCATTTTCCACCAAACTTACAGTCAAGTTTGTCGCTCTTGAGAGTTACATCGTCATCTTTGTTAATGTTAAATATTCATAGGTGAAATATATTTTCTTTGTAGACGTTTTTTGATGTGAGTAATGAATTGTGTAATATAAGACATCGCACATTCGTGTAATATGAGGCCAGATTTTATAGATCAGAAAACAATCGAGCTGTTTATTATGAACTTCCCCCTTAAAACTTGCTCACCCCCTTACTTCTTTCTCTTAAAATTCGATATTATAGTATACAAATCTAAAATAATGTCATCACTACAATGTCATCACTAGACATTTTGTTTTCCCCCTAATTTGTCTGAGGAAAGTGTTCTTTGAAATCAAAATCAAGTATATTTTTGTATTGATTAGTTATAGTAATATTGTGTTTTAGCGAATTTCCCTATAGGGAAGTAGCTATTACCGTAGGTCTCATGGTAAGACCTATATATATATATGTGTATGTGTGTGTGTGTCCATCCGCACGATAACTTGAGTAATTTTCGTCCGATTTTTATAAAATTTGGTTTGAAGGTGTAAGGCGGGATAAACTTGAATGAGTTCGCAAACCATCATGATCGGACAATGTTAACGGGGGTTTATGGGGGGTTTTATGGGGTAAAAATAGGTTTTTCCCATTTTTGATCCTAAACACGCAAAATTTCACAATTTCTTTCTAAACCATTTTGTAGAGCTTAAAAAAACAAATAATTTAGTATATGAAGCGTTATTATGCGCCTAATTGTTACGGATAAAATTCAAAAAAATTTTAATTTTAAATTCCCATGTTATTCTTATGGAGAATAAGTCAACTGTTGTAGTTTGCTTGTTTATGAACATATTGTGATCAAATTTGGAAAATAAATTAATTTCTTACTAAACTATAGTACATTTTAACGTTTTACATTAAAAAAAAACTTTTTTACCCTCCCTGTTGCAGCAAACCTAAGTACCGTACTCATTAAACTAATTCTGTTTAAATAGGGAATAAATGTGATATTTTTAAGGGGACATTTTAGTGTACATCCAATCAGGCAAATGGAAATTCGCTAAGTCTGCAGGTTTGCTGCGGTGGGGGTATTTTAACATGTTCTCGGACACAGTATTATATTACTTGGTTGATATCTAATGTGTAGTAAAAATCTTGTTGAAACCACGGTGGAAATGGTTTTATGATCTTAATTTGCACACGATTTCAAACTTAAAAAATTTCGTTTTTAGTTTTTTTCGTACAAAATATACTTCAAAGGTCCTGCAATTTTATGATATGGAGACAACTTTGATGCTGGAAAATCAACTAGTTAAACACTACAAAATGATTCGTATGGAATTAAGATAATCATAGGTCATTTTGAGTAACGTTAGTCAAGTGCAAGCTCTGAAATTATTTAACCACCACCATACGTTCAAAATAATTAATTTAACTTTAAATTCATATTTTTCAATAATTCACTTATGATTCAACTCTTTTCCAAAGGCACGAGAATCTAAACATTAAAACATCATCTTAACCTACCAAATCGTAAAAAGCAAGAGATACAGTGGATTAGTGGCTAGATTTCAAAGCAATTTTCTACCCTGATTGAAATCAATGTGATTAAAATCGGAATCTCGTCAGTCCGAGTGGTAATAACTAACTTTTAACCCGAAGCGATGTCAACGACGTCGTTTTGGTGTTGAACCGCGTCCAAAAACGCCCGGGATATTTTATAACTACGACGACCATCCCACGCCCGAATATGAAACACATTACTGGCGGACATTAATTTCATTTTGGGGATTCTAAACCACCCCATTCACATTTTAAGCGTTTGCATAAAATTATTTATATGCTAGTTTGAACAGATCGTCGTAAATATTTGTGAAAATCACAAAGAATTTTGAGCTAGTAGGCTTTAACATTATGTATATGGTAAAATATTTAATTAGGTCAGAAAGGTTTTCTTATATACAGTAAACCAAAATTGCATCAAACTTTTATATTTCAACCAAATGTGTTTCAATATTAAATTTGTTGTACTTTAACATAAGGTGTTTACACTCAAAAGTATGACTTACTGTCTTTACTGTATTTTTTTACTAGCTGTACCCGCGGGCTTTGCCCCAGTTAACTTCATATGTGAGCTCGTTCGCATGGCTCAATCACGTCCTGGTTGAAGTTCGTTCGCTACGCTCACTCACCTTTAGGTTGGAGCTCGTTCGCTGCGCTCACACGTCCTGGTTGAAGTTCGTTCGCTACGCTCACTCACCTTTACGGTTGGAGCTCGTTCGCTGCACTCACTTGCCTTCAGGTTAGCTCGTTCGCTACGCTAACTCGCCTCCGAGTTGAAGTTCGTTCGCTGCGCTCACTCACCTTTTGGTTGCAAATTAGCTCTTGTCATAAATAAAAAAAAATAATAGTGCTGCACTCTGTTGGTAATAGATGAGTGAACGAAGTGAACGAATCTATGTATCGTGTATAGCGGAGTCGGAGAAAGGTTGTCCGCTGGAGTATGTGTGTGTGTGTGTGTGTGTGTGTTCGCACCTAAAACTCAAGAACCGTTGCACTTATAGCGTTCAAATTTTGCACAAATAGTTATGACACCAGTGTAAAGACACCATTAAAATTCTAGACGATTCCACTCAGTAGTAATAATAAAATACTTAAAAAACATTTTTTAATTTGTCCCATAAGAATAACATTAGGAGCTACCTTCTTCTTCTTTTTATTTGTTTACGTTTTGCGACCAACAATTTTGTTGTCTACTTAAGACAGAGAGAACGACTTTTACTCTAAGCTCTTTCATTCATGGAGTAAACAGTTTGGCATCTATGAATATATATCATTATAATTTCACAGCTTTCAGAATAATGTCATTTAAGCTAATTAAATTTCACAACTTTCAGAATAATAAATTGAACTTAACAATATTAGTTGGCAGTTATATACCGTTTATTTTCAGTATTAAAATTCACCTTTAAATTAAAAGTATATACGTATGTATGTATTTAGAACAAAGCAGCTTTTTATATTATCCAATAATTTAATGTTGGCATTGAATATTAAATATTCAAAGATGTTGGTATATTTTTATACTAAAATGCTATGCGAAGGGGGGGGGGGAAAGGTCCCCGACGAAGAGAGTGGTAAAGGAAGCGGAAAGGTGAGCAGTGAAAAGAAAGGAGTACGGAAAACCTTTATGACTGTTAAATTAACGTATCTGTAATACTTAAATGCTATGGAAAAATAGAGAAACAGGTCTACGATGTACGAAGTAGTGAAGGTAATAGTGAGGGAAGTAGTCAATGCGAGCGTTGCGGAGTGTGGGGGGCCTTTATGACAGTTGGAATAATTTATCTGCAATTCTAAAAATGCTATGGGAAGGGAGAGAAACAGGTCCACGATGTAGGAAGTGGTGAAGGAAGTAGTCAATGTGAGCAGTCCGGAGTGTGGGAAGCCTTTGTGACAATTAGAATAATGTATCTGCAATTCTAAAAATGCTATGGGAAGGGAGGGAAACAGGTCCATGACACTTAGGAAGTGGTGAAGGAAGTAGTCGAGGCGAGCAGTCCGGAGTGTGGGAACCCTTTGTGGCAGTTAGATTAATGTATCTGCCATAATAAAATGCTATAGGAAGGTAGGGAAACAGGTCCACGACGTAGGGAGCGGTAAAGAAAGTAGTCAAGGCGAGCAGTCCGGAGTGTAG